CTTTGAAGATATGGCGACACTACTTGTATGGACGAAAGTGTGATATCTACACAGATCACAAAAGTCTCAAGTATTTCTTCACACAGAAGGAATTGAATATGCGACAAAGACGATGGTTGGAATTGGTGAACGATTATTTTCATCAATTATTTTCTCAAAGGGCCACCCACGTTTTTGACAATAAAAATCCCACTAAATTGAAGCATTTAACCTCAAACTTAAATGGCACTCATGTTTTCTCTCTTAAATGAAATTTGAACCTTCACTTGCTTTAAGTTATGGGATATTTACCTATAAATAGAGATCCCATTTCATTCATTTTGTCTCACACCAAAAGCAAGAGCTTTTACATACTAAAGAAAGAGTTTCAAGAGAGAAAAAGAGAGGGAGGAAAACTATTTTTCCTAAAAGTTTAAGAAGTGTTTTCAAGCATCAATTCTCAACGGTTTTCAAACATCCAAGGAGTGCATTTCTTTCAACGTCCAAGTTTCATCGAAGTTTTCAATCCAAGTTCTCAAAGTTTCAAAAGCATCAATCAAGGTAGGTAGAGGTGCAATGTGTTTAATCGTGTTAAGTTAAAAGTTTTGATTCATGTTAATGTTTGTATATCAAATGGTGCTCCGGTACGGCAGACCCATCTATGTTGAAGAAATGTTCGTATGTCAAATGGTGCCCTCATGTACGGCATACCCCTTCATGTCAAATGGTGCTTCCGGGTACGGCATGTATGAAAAGTTATAAAGTTAATATTTTGAAATGTATAGCTTGATCACGAATGCACCTATGACACCTATTAAGTTTTTCAACTCACAGGTTTAATCCCATCTCTACAGATTGAAGAAATTCTACCTCGGGCATGGATGGAGGTAAAGATGGAGAGTGATGCAACGAGCCCATGGAAATTCGGTAAATAAGTGATTTGAATTTATTTTTATGAAATATTTTCCAATGTTATTTCTTTAAAGTTTTGAATAACGCAGAATGCGAGAAAAAGTTATGTTTTCTTCAAATAAATTACATTTGTTTGTTTTGAAAAATGATTCGGTGTTTTTGTTTAAAATATTTGAAGTATTGCTATTTAAATTATTATCCAAAGATGTAAGCTTCCGCTAAAACATATACACTTATTACTAAACCACTGGTTAAGCTAAGTAAAGTAAGTAGCGTTCTGGTCCACTAGGGGTCGGGGTATTACAGTGATACCCTTCGACGAGATGACTAGAACCCAACAAAGGCGTTTTCAACGGAACTATGGACGAATGATGAGACAACAACAGGGAATGCCACGTCCTAAGGCGCCTAGATTACTCGAGGTAGCCAATCAAAATGTTCTTGAAGACAGTGAAGAGACTAGTACAGGCGAATCGATGGAAGAATTGCCAGAAAGTTCTTCTGAGAGATCGAAGTTTGAACGAGACAGAAGGGATGGAGAAGATCCAGATCAGCCCCTTACTATTCAGTTTGGTATGTTATCTCCTGTCATGGCTAATAATTACTTACTAGCCAATGAGTTCAAGAATAAAGAGAAAGAAGAAGAAGAGAGGGAGGATAACGAAGAAGAAGCATGCGTGTCGAAATATGAAGAAGGCTAAACTTCTAGAGGGGCCTACGATGATGAAGGAGATGATGGTATGACGGATATCAAAGAGGAAATTGATTTGGAAGCAGAAAGAAGAAAAAGAGGAGTATCGTACAGTACTCTGTTGAAGCAACTACATTGAGAGGGGGTTCGTGAAGTGGACTTGTTGGGGGAATCGTCTGGGCGTTCTTTCGATTATTACGTGCTGTACGGGACGCCCAAAAAGAAAAAGAGAGTTCCTCGCTCTGAAAAGTATGGATCACCTCTAAGAATAATGCCTCCTCCCACAGGTTGGGTAACTGAAGAAGCAGCATTAGAAAATAGTAAAAAGAAAATTCAGGAAACGGAAGCTCAGTGCGACATGCTGCACGTTGACTTATCACAAAAGGATAACTCGACAGAGGACAAGCAGGAAGTGGAAATAGATGCTGTCGAAAAGGTTATTTTTAAGCGACCAGCCTTGAAGTTAACTAAACACTTAAGGCCATTGTACGTTAAAACTCTAATTAACGGCATACCTGTGGCAAAAGTGCTTGTCGATAATGGAGCAGCTATAAACACCATTCCATCTAGGATGATGAGGAAATTTGCAAAAGACTGAAAGTGATATGATCCCAACAAAAGTCGTTCTTACGAGTTTCAATGGAGGAGCAACTTAGCTAAAGGGGTTATGCCATTAGACATAACTATAGGGACAACTACTAGGACCACAGTCTTCTTTGTAATAGATGATCCTACTAGTTACAATGTGTTATTAGAAAGTGATTGGATACACGGAAGTCGCTGTATACCTTCATCGTTCCATCAATGCCTGGTTTTTTGGAATGACAAAGGCGAAGCAGAAGTAGTGCAGGCCGATCATAGACCTTTTGTCGTAGAAGCAAACTCAGTAGAAATGTTCATGTACGAAGGAAATTACAGACCTGTTAGAGTAGTTCAAGATGGAGAAGAAATTCAAATTGTCGCGCAGAGTGAAGAGCCATTTTTGATGGATGCACTCATTAAAATGTTCAGTCAGATGAGGCCAAACATAGTGGCCCTCGAAGAGCCAGTAATTGGCAAAAGAGTAATCAAGGAGTTTTAAATGAGTTGTAAGCAACAAAGGCAAATGGCCGATGTTCAGGCCTTCAAAGCCAAATTAATGGCTTTCAATAAAGAAAGTAAGGACAAGATGAAAGAAGAAGTAGCTTTGGAAGCATTGATAGACAAATTGGCAGTATTCGAGTTGGAACAAAATATTGGTCGAGAAGTCAACAAGGTGGATTGTTTAAAAGAAGAAGTGCCTATAAGGGAATTGAACGATGAAGTAATGAGGATCATCAAGCCTGGATACGCTCAAGCACAAGACTCTCTGATTAAAGTGAATATTGGCAATGAAGGGGAAGATCGCCTAACCTTCATCAGTCAGATGCTCGATCAAGAGGTTAGTGGTAAATTAATCGCTTTATTAAAGGAATATAAGGATTGTTTTGCTTGGGAATATGAATATATGCCTGGTTTAGATAGGGATTTGGTAGAACATAGGTTGCTAACCTAGCTAAATTTTAAGCCTCATAAGCAACCTCCTAGGCGTTTTGCTTCTAATATACTTCCTGAGATTAAGAAAGAAATAGAGCGATTATTAAAAGCAGGCTTTATTAGAATAGCCAGATATGTGAATTGGTTATCTAATATCGTGCCAGTGCTAAAAAAGAATGGTAAATTAAGGACGTGCATAGACTTTAGGAATTTAAATATAGCCACACCCAAAGATGAATATCCAATGCCCACGGTAGATTCTTTAGTAGACTCGACTGTCGGACACGTAATATATTTCTTCATGGATAGGTATTCAGGATACAATCAAATTTATATAGTTGAGGAAGATATACACAAAACTGCCTTTAGGTACCCGGGATCTCTAGGATGTTTTGAATGGGTAGTTATGCCCTTCGGCCTAAAAATGCAGGAGCAACTTATCAAAGGGCAATGAACTTGATTTTTCATGATATGATAGACAAGTTTGTTGAAGTGTATGTAGATGATATAGTGGTCAAATCCATTAAAGAAGAGGACTATTTTGAACAATTGAAATGTTCATTTGAGTGAATGAGGCAATATAAACTAAAATTGAATCCCTTGAAATGTGCATTTGGCGTTAACGTAGGAAACTTCCTTGGTTTCTTAGTACACAAAAGAGGGATTGAACTTGATAAAAATAAAGCGAAGGCTATTTTAGAGGCCAAATCACCTAGCAATAAAAAAGAATTGCAAAGGTTTCTAGGCCAAATAAATTTTTTAAGATGCTTTATTTCTAACTGTGCAGGGCGAACTAAAACTTTTTCGCCACTGTTAAAGTTGAAAAATCAGGATGAATTCGTCTAAAAAGAAGAGCATCAAAAGGCTTTTGAAAGTCTAAAGACATATTTATCAAGTCCACCAGTGTTGGTGTCACCAATCCGAACGACCAATGAAAGTATATGTATCGGCTGAACAAGAATCAATAGCTGAAATGGTCGCGCAAGAAGACCAATTTGGTGAAAAAATGGCGATTTACTACTTGAGTAGATGGTTAACAAAATGTGAATGTAATTACTCTGCTATTAAAAAATTATGTCTTGCATTGTATTTCACGTGTACCAAATTAAGGGCTTATTTACGGTCCGTAACTGTTTATTTGATTTCTAGAATAAATTTGGTTAAATATATGTTCTCTCGCCCTATTTTACACCAAAGGGTAGGCTTTTGGACGTTAGCATTATCAGAATTCGAAATACAATACATACCTCAAAAGGCAATCAAAAATCAGGCTTTGGCTAACTTTCTGGCCGATCATCCATTCCTTGACATGTCTGAAGAAATTGAATTAGAAATCAATTCATTCGAGTTAAAACCTTGGGTTTTGTATTTCGATGGATCAAAAACCTCTAAAGGTGCAGGAGTAGGAATATCATTGATAAATTCTTTAGGGATTTGTTACAAGTTCGCATTCACTTTGGATAGGATGTGCACCAACAATCAAGCTGAATATGAAGCCTTAATCGTGGGCCTGGAATTAATGATAGATATGGAAGTAAAGAATGTGATCGTTAGAGGCGATTCTCAATTGGTAATTCACCAATTAATTGGTGATTTTAAATGCCAAAGTGATTCCATTATAAGTCAATATGAAATCGCTCAAGAGTTGTTGGAAGAGTTCGACCAAGTAGAGTTTCAATGCGTTAATAGGATATATAATAACGTGGCAAATGAGTTGGCCCAGATGGCCTCAGGGTACTCAAAGGTTTTAAATTGGAAGTCTACTTATGAGTATGGAACAATATTGCCCGTGGTCCAAAGAAGGGCGAGAACGATTGAAATTCATTGCATACAAGATGGAGATGCAATAGATTGGAGGACAGAGATTAAAAGGTTCCTTAAAGAACCTAATAAAGGAGTCTAGGTTGTATACAACTGCCAATGATATATTTCATAACAAATTAAGAGGGTCGTGGATTTTGATTTCTTTTATACACTTCACATTCATACAGCGACATAATTGCCATAGCAAATCAAGCATTTTTCTTGGTGTGGTTGATGTAAATTGTCTAGCTTGATTCCACCTCCCTTAGTCGATTTGTTCTCAGAGTTTAGGTACTAATCCACTGCCATGAAGAGCATCTCAACATAGTTTTCAACCAACACAGCAATAACACTTGCATGACTCAAATTTTTATAAAAATATAATTACATAATGCATTGCTGGGATAGCTGTTATCAAAATTATTCCAGAATTGCATAAAATTATGAGGTAATGATTTTTATCAGTAATAAAAACATGTAGCTAAGTTTAGTGATGAACCATTGAGTGCCCACAAAATGTAAAAAGCAAAAACAGAATATTTGGAAAAAAATAAAAATAAAAATAGAAGTGATTGATGTACATGTGTTGGAAGAACTTCACAATTAAGCAAGCACGTACTTACGGGATATTGATCATAGATTAGATCCTTACGACCTTTGCCGGGATATAGAGGATGTGTATGCTCCTTGACAAATTTTGTGACAATCCATTTCCCAGAGCTTACTTTTCTAACTAAAATCATCGCCCTGCAACCAACTCTTGTTTCAGTCCGTTGCCGTACAATCATTTCACGCTTGTCAGGCATTCTGAAACCCTCTTTATTGCAAACAAATGCACGACCAATTGCAGATCCGTCACGGCTTGATCGAGAAAGCTTGCTCACACGGATGATGAACCCCACTCTTGTTGCATATGCATTATAAAATGCATGTGCTTCTGCTTCAGATTCAAACTCCTGGCCCACATAAGGTTCCTCTGCAGGGCCCAAACTATTTACAGTTTGCGGCCCATCCTGTGGGAATAAGTCCCTGCCAGAAGAATCTTCATCTACTTTAATATCAAGACCATGTTGCAGTGCTCCATCAGCAGAAGTTCCTAAAATTGCATCTCCATCATCTGATCTTCCTACAATATCAATAGAACTTCCTACTATGCCATTGACGTCAGCATCAATCACAAAATCCACTGTAAAAAACATGTTAAAATTCACTTAAGCACAGTAAAGATTGACCAAGGGAAACCATAATTGCACACAAACAACAAGAAGTTCAATTCAGTAAAAGTAGACTAACGAGTGTCTAAACAAAATTTCAACTATTTTACTTCCATTACAAATCATCGAGACTTGATGCATTTAAAGATTCATTTTACGGTGGAAGAGATGTCAAAGCCTAACTAAAAAATTGCCGCAGTATGTCCCTTAAAAATAAAGCATATAGTGGTAGAAAGAGTACCATGCTGCATCTAGACTTCAAACAGTTTGCTTTAACCATCTTAACAGTCCCCCATTATTGGTTCCTAGAGAATCAAAGTAGCTTTGCCAATTAATAACGAAATGCTATGCTATGGTTCTTACATATAATTTCTTAATTTTGCAAGATCATGCACCTCTATTTCCTAGTTATAAAGGGAAAAAGGTCCAGCTGATTGGATCCGTGAAATAAACAATTCACACACACTCACTTTCCCTAATTAAGCCCCTGTTTGGTAGCAACTTTTCACCTAAAAAATCATTTTTTTTCACCGTTATTTCACTGTTCCAGCTGTCATACTTCTTCACTCAAAGTTGAGACCCACTCTCAAAAAAACTATTCTCGTAATCTCTGCCGAACAGGTCCTAAATTCATAAAAACCTGTTAGTAATCAAACCAAGATATAAACTTTCTGAACCATAAGTACCAAAAAGAATAGGCTAATTTTTACAGTAATTATCCAATTATACACATGCTTCAAATAATCATAAATTAGAAACATATAAAGTTATAATCTTTTTAGGCCTCATCCAGTTACTCCAACATTGGTACAAACAACAAAACAGAAAAAGAACCCAATAAGAAAAGAAAAACGATAAGATATATCCATACCAGCACACATTCAATGGCGGCAAGAGAATTTAAAGTCCAGTTGATTCCAAGAATAATTTCTCCAAATCACAAAATGGGTTTTTTCATTCAAGGTCCCTCATTCTTAATGATCACAAAAACCCACAAATTTATTCAAGTGAATATATCGTATATATTATAAAATAAAACAAAAAAATAAAGGAAGAAATACACCTATAAAATCAAAACTATTATCCAATTACGGAGGAAAAAATCGAAACATACAAGTAGAAGGGGAAGCTTACTCCAAACTGAGCGAGACCTCGTACAATCCACCTTTTCAGATCCTTCTCAGAAGCACACGGGGGTGTGTGAGGGCTCAGCCTGAGGTTATATTGTGGGCTCAAATCAAAGTGAGATGGTGAAATTTCATTGGTTAGAATACATCAAAATAAAGTCAATTTTTATTGGAACCAATTATATTGGGACGCGTAGTTATATGGTGATGAGATCGTTCGCGGATTATTATTGCCCCAAAACGGGTAATGGACATGAATTGTTTAGGGAATGGGGGGTGTCACTTGGGTTAATTTCGACCCATCTGAAATGTATTTTTGTTGGTTTTTAGTACTTATTTGAACTTCAGTTTTTGAAAAAAAAATAAATGGACAACTTACGAAAATACCTCTAAAATTAAGGAATTTTAGAAAAATTAAATGAAAAGTATTTTAAAAGTAAAAAACACTATATAAACAATATCACTTTTTAAAGTTACGTGCCAATTTTTTATTTATTAAAAAAAGTGATATTTGTTACTCAAAAAGTAAAAAAAAGAAAAAAAGAAAAAAAAGTGCATTATAAAAAGTGACAAAATCCAAGAAAAAAAATAATAATAAACAAAATAAAAAATTGACACACTAAAAAAAGTGATAAAATTTTTAAAAAGTGACTGACATTAAAACAAGTGATAATATACTAATCAAAGCTTTGGAATCAATTCAATAAAGTGACAACTAAAAAAGTGACAACTCATAAAAGAGACATAAAAAAAAGTGACAAAACACTAATAAAAATCTTGGAATTAATTCAATAACGTCTCAGAATTTAAAAAAAGTGATGAAAACTCAAAAAAGTTACAAACATTCAAAAAAATTGACAAAACATCAATTAAAACTTGGAATTAGTTCAACAAAGTAACGAAAATTTAAGAAGTGACGAAAAGTTAAGAAATGACAAAGTTCTTCAAAAAGTGAAATAATATTTAATATCAATCAAAACCTTAAAAGAGATTCAAGGGATGGTTGATTTTCCTTTGCATGTTGTCTATTTGTAATTATGCTTCACTTCTATTTAATGAAAATAGAATATAACTTCATTTTTAGGAACATAACTACCAATAAGTTGGAAGTGATAAAAATTCGGAGAAATGACAAATTTCTTTGTAGGATCAAACTTCTTGATTCTCCTATGTCAATGAACGATTAAGATACGTCAACGTCAAACTGTAGAGTTACATCTCCAATAAAAAAGATTCCATATTTGACTTGTTATGTTCCAAAAAATGACAAAATCTCAAAAAAAGTTACAAACAATAAAAAAAGTGATAAGCATAACAAAAAGTGAGAAAATTAATTTGAGCATTCAAACCAATATTGGCCTCTTGTCTATTCATCATAAAAGGCAAACTCAAGCATCCAAACAAAAAATGAACTACAAAAATTAAAAACTTAAATTAATAAGATTATACATTCTCTTAAGTTGGTCTTGAATCTGCAGGAAACATGGAGGAGGTAACTCATGTGTCCAGTACCAGTAGTCTTTTTCCTTATGGGCTTCACACTCTAGTTGTCTGAAATTCACATCAGATAATGATTAAATCAAGAAAAAAGGATAAAATTCCACAGAATACGCATTAACATATATACAATAAAAAATTGAAAGTGACCCTAAAAACAGACCTTTGTGGTTCTCTCTAAAATCCATAATCAAGTTCAAAACAATGAAAAATATATCCACATTGCACTTCATTTTCATCTTAATCTATCTGCAAAAAATAACCAGAATACTTTTTATTGTGCCTCTCCTAGAGATCAAAGAGCACGGTTATGATTTTCTGAGAAAAGATAGAAAGGAGAAATGATGGGCCTTTCAATCTCGCTATCTACGTATGGCCTCGATCTTATAGTACCCATTAGCAAGCTTTAAGTGCTCGGCCTAAACTGCAGCCCCAAGCTCAGTCTCGGAGTCTTCATCTTTGTTTGTTCAAGCGCCTCCTTCATGTGGTGGGCGAGGTTTTCACCCTGCAAGAACACTGTAGTCGAGTTCGAACTCAAGAACGAAGGTTTCTCGGAGTCTTCTGATTTAGGGGCTTCCTCTTTCTGATTGGGACTTTTTTGTATTTTGAGGTTTGGCATTTAATTAATACGATAATTATAAAAGGTTAAACCCCGTCGCGCCCCGCCCCTTCCCTGGAGCATCGTGAAAGAAATTAATAACGGGATGTGCTCCATCAGGTCAGAGAACAAGAGCTACCTGTACACTGGTACCCACAAAGAGTCTCAATCCATGTTTTAGAAATCGAACCCTCACACTGCGACTATCAACAAGGTTGAAAATATATAGTTAAAAATTAAATAAAAACTTTTTACAGGATATATGATTAAAAATAAATTTGAATAAAAATAATTTTTAGAAATCGTGGCTCAAATGGGGATTTATTATCTCAATTAGTGAGAATCATCATCAATAATATGACATTTTTGACAGTAATCAATCAAAATAATTTTACAAACAGGATCTCTAAGTCAGTTTTTTTTTTTTTTTTTTTGTCAACAATACTTAAAAAATTGTTTTAATAAAATTTATTACCAACGAAAATTTCCTCAATAAAACAAGCAATAATATTAAATACTACGGCAAAATAATTTTTGTTGAGAATAAAATAAAAATAAAAATGATAACTTATCAGTGCCAAATATTATACATAATAAAAATCAATTTATTGCGTTATATATAAAGGTGCCCATAATGGTCAAATGCCGTGCAAAAAAAATTTTCAATTCTATTTTGTTCATATGATCATTTTATTTTATCCCATATATAATCAACAAGGAGGCTAATGCAAGTGAAATTGAGAAAGCGAGGAGGAAGCTACTATAGTGGTCGTTACTATCAAGAAGAGAAATATCTGAAGCCCGTGGCGGATCCAGGATTTTGAGTCAACACGGGCGATTGTTGATCGTCGACGGTCGACCATAATAAAATGTTAAGAACCCGTTTGATGTCATTTTCTTAGCAAAAAATGCATTTTAAAATAGTGATTTGATAGAGAATATGTAGTTAAAAATAAATAAAAGTTTTGAATTTGCGTATAATATTCTTTTATTAAAAAATGTATGATTAAAAATAAGATAGATAAAAATGTATTTTGTAATAAATGAGAATCAAATAAAGCCTAAAATTTAAATATAATAATTATTTTGTTTAAATTGAACATATAAAATTTTGTTAGAAGAATAAATTGTATTCATCAAATGACATTATTGCCAAGTTTCGTATAATTTAAATGAAGAGTACATGTTTGGATGATTGTAATTGCATTAAAACCATATGTAACATCTAATATTTTGTTAAACTTAGACCTAAAAAAGAGCAATTGCCATGATGGTTAAACTTGTAATGATTTTAGCACAAGGTCCCAGGTTCAAATCTCTTCTGGCACTGAATTAGTTTTGGTAAAAATAAAGATTCTAGAACTAAAAATATTGCAAAATAACTTGGTTGCAAAGTATTCAAACTCGAGACCTGCATCATATACATGCACGGTCTAAACCAGCTTAGTCAGCAGGCATAATTGAAACAAAGACGAATTATCAGTAATATAACCTAAAATGTTGATTGTTGTCAACCAAAAAAACAGAAGAGCTATCGCCGGATCCAGCACACGCGGCCGCCAGAGCTCGCCGGGTGCTGGATCCACCAGTGTCTGAAGCTCTTTAGCATTTTAAACACTCTTGTCATTTTTATTCTAAATTAAATATATGAAAAAAGGAAACGAAAGTGATAGACATTTACCAAAAATATGAAATATTGGGGACTTTTTAAAAGTATATTTTGACTAAAATTGAACGAAGACGATGATTTGAGTCTTCGCCTGTATTTATTGGGTTCAAATTCTTCAATCATAAATTGAAAATATTTGAAAAATTAAATTTAAATTGTTCTTTTATCCTTATAGAATTTTTTACTTTTCCTTGGTGATTAATTGTTCAAGGGCTTGTTAAATCCTCAAAACTATTTGTCAATGATACCCACAAGCAACCTTATTCCCTAGAGGGGGCAAATACCATTTTAGATTAGTGATTTACTCATGTTCAAGTCTTGACACTTCTCGGATTTTCTTCATTCAGGTTTCTAGTTTCTTCTCCATTTCTTCCTTGTTTTCAACAATCAAAATGCTAATTATGGCAATGGAGAACAAAAATATGATGGAAACAATAAAATTGATGAATCAAGGCTTGGTAGGGCTCAACTTGATTGATGGGACAAACTTCACTCGTTGGCAAGACAAGTTGAATTTTCTTATGGCGGCACTGAAGATCTTCTACGTGCTTAATCCAAACATGGTTGCAACAAACACATAAGCACTAAGGCAGAATGCAAGAAGTGACAAGAGGATGAATTGATATGCTGGACCATATTCTAATGCTCTTTCAGACTAGTTGAATGATTTCTACACCAACACTTATCGGCATGGGAGATTTGGGAAGCACTTGAAAATATATACAATGCATGCACAGGAGAAAGGTACCAAGAAATTTTTTTACTTCCAAATATTTCAATTTTTAATTTTTGGATAACCATTGGTGCCCTAAGTGCATGAATTGAAATTAATTGTCAACAAATTGAAAGCGGTTAAAATTGATCTTCCCAAGTCCTTTCAAGTTTGTGAAATATGAAATTTGAGGATGTGCCGTCTCAAGAGAAAGAAAGAGTTTATTTCTTAGAAGTCCAAGAATAGGATGAGCACAAGCGTACGATAGCGCTAAGCAACATTGTATAGAACTTGTGAACACGTGACATTCTATGTGTAGTTTTAGCGGCGTCATTGCTAAGGAATAATATGTTCAAAACTTTCATACTACCTAGAATTTTGATGATCACTTTGTGATTGATTACACTTTTGTTCAAATCGATCGGTACCTTTACCTTGTGCATAAGAGTTGCTCCTTTTGATTGTGGTTTTTATTTTTTGAACAAATGGGGATTGTTGAAATATTGCTCAAATAATGTAACATGGAATGATTTGTAAAGTTTCCAACGTAGGGAAAGTCGTGAAATATAGAGAAGAAGATAAAGGAACTAAAATATATGCACAGAAAGAGGTCGAAGGCAAAAATGTCTTGGAAGGGACAAGTAAGAGCTGGAAGGGTCTCGCATGACCCTTTGCGGCTTGCAGAAAGTTTAGCTTGTTTTTGGTTCCATAGTTTGTAATACTCCGAAATTCTATGCTCGTTTAAATTTCTTTGGGATAGCGATTTAACTTTCAATATTATTTTTGGCCATAAGGTA